CCCCCCCTCGACCAGAAGCGGAAGTCACCTTTTCTCTACGGCAACCCTGAAGGGACATATCATCTCCAATACAAAACGATAAACATGAGACAGTCTGTTACAATAATAATAAATTAAAAATACTTACCTGTTTTTTTTTTGTTGTTTGTTAATTATTATTTTTTTTTTTTCTCATCTCAAAAGGCTCAAGGACATACACACACACACGCTCACACACACATGCATACATACATACATACATACATACACAACTGACTATAGGATGTTTGCTGGCTTTTATCCCACTGTTCTTGTCATCCTCTTATGTCTATGTATTGTCTCTTGTCTTTCAATTTAAAAAATAAAAATTATAATAAATTTAAAAAATGTGTTGATGTACGATAAAATAATTGTTGCCGTTAATTAATGGATGCGTTAACGCGTTAACTTGCCCAGCACTAAAATATATGTATATATTTTGTATACTGTAATGAATCTAAAGTGTTTTTAACGACTCGGACGTTGTAAATGTGCCGTTCAGGATGAAGAAGGCAGAGATTCCGTGTCCGGAGGTGGTGCTGCTGAAGAAACACATCCTGGTGATGTCGTTCATCGGTAAAGACCACATCCCTGCTCCCAAGCTGAAAGACGTGGTGCTGAGCTCAGAGGACATGAAGACCGCCTTCTACCAGGTCCTACATGTACGTACCGCTGGTACTACACTGTGTACTTACAGAGAACTACAACAGCAGCTAAGCATTTGTTTCAGCTGTGATTCAGTACTGGTTCACACAATAACTGCATTCAACAGTGACATATCTTAGGGCTACAGTTTAAGTATTATAGGAGTTCAAACTACCGTTTACCCAGAATGCCGTTGGGCTCTGTGTCTGTGCAGGTGATGCAGCAGCTGTATCAGGAGTGTAATCTGGTTCACGCTGATCTCAGTGAATACAACATGCTGTGGCACGAAGGAAAGGTAACACACCTTCACTCTCCTTCATGTTTCTGATTCCTTCAAGCTGTCCTCTGTCCTTCATGACTTTGCTGTGTGTGTGTGTGTGTGTGTGTGTGTGTGTGTGTGTGTGTGTGTGTGTGTGTGTGTGTGTGTGTTCGTGTTCCAGGTGTGGTTGATAGATGTGGGTCAGTCGGTGGAGCCCACTCATCCTCACGCTCTGGAGTTCCTCTTCAGAGACTGCAGGAACGTTGCGACGGTAAACAAGTTTATTTTATCTTTAAAGCTGTAAATGAAAGTAAAGTTAAAGTGTTTTAAAAGCAGAACTGCAGGATTCAGTGTGAGAACATCATTTAAACAAGTTCATTTTCCATGTTTTATTTTAATGATGAACAGGATGCAGCGGATCATCTGTTCTATTTATGGGGAATTTAAATGTCTTCACAACATATTTAAGTTCACATTTATAAAATAATAATGGCTTCATAATTATTAATTATATTTATTTGTCGCTAATAAAAAGGAAACATTAATTATAGTTAATTAATAACCAGGATCTAGATGTTCCAAAAAAGTCCAAAATATACAAATTAAATTAATTAATATTATAAAGAAATACATTCTGGGTCTCCTAAGTAATCAGGTTTATTTAACCGTCTTTATTTAAACGTCTTTATTTAAACGTCTTTATTGAACCAAGTGAACTGGCACAAAAATAGAAAATGTAGAAAATATTTATTCTAGCCAAATTTGTATTGTCTATTTTTCTAAGTAAAGTTTATACAGTGTGTGCGTGTCTGTGTGTGTGTGTGTCTTTGTTAATGTGTGTGTGTGTGTGTGTGTGTGTGTGTGTGTGTGTGTCCGTTTGTCCCACAGTTCTTCCAGAAGAGAGGAGTGAGTGAAGCGATGAGTGTTTACGAGCTTTTCAACACCGTGAGCGGACTGAACATCCCTGTTGGTGAAGAAGAAGAGGCCGAGTTCATAGCTGAGGTGACACACACACACACACCTGTAGATATACACACACACGCACAAAAAAACTTTTATTTGACAGTAAAACCATTTCATTCTGTGTGTGACAGATTGTGGCGTTGGAGAAGAGGAACGAGGATCACGTTCAGCATCGAGGGAAGAAGACGTTTCCTGTTTCCTCTGAAGACGAAGAGCCTCCGTTACAACCCGACTCTGACGACTAACACCCCCCCACACACCCCCCCTCTCTTCACGATCCCGCCGTGTTGAAAACAAGCTGTAGAAGAAGAGACGAGTGAAGGAGGCCACCTCCTCCTCCTCCTCCAACCATCACCCACCAACCGCTTCCTTTGAACAGGCCGACGGAGCTCCGCCTCCTGGCTGCAGGTGGGCGGAGCTTCAGCGTGTTGGATGTTTAAGTCGGAGCGTCTTCAGAGACCACAACTCACATCCTCCTCCTGATCTTTATGATCTTTATCACAGCGAGTAATGAAGATCACAACACTAAACGAGTAACGAGAGGACGGCTCCGTCGATTAGAAACCAACTCTGAGAGGGTTGATTCTGAGTTTATGTCCCGGATATGAATTTAGGGAAATGATGCAGAAGATCATGAATATTATTATTTATTTTATTCTTTTTGTGATGGAACAGATGTGAAAGAAAATCTACCGAAGCTTCAGTGAAGAAAAAGAGCAAATGTACACCAAAAAAAAGCCTAAATGTAACAGAAATATTAAGCTCAAAATGAGTAGAAAAAAGTTATTAAATCTGGAAAATTTTAATGAAAGAATATTAAATCTAAGCAGAAAAGAAAAATTCCATGTTACAAATATATATTATTATAATATTTTATGATAATAATCTTTATTTACAGACACAATTGAACCAAGATTAAAGATTCATGACGGCGATAAATCAGAACATTAGAAATATTACAACAAATGCATAAATAAATAAAACATACAGCTCTAACTCTGTCATTCTGCCTCGACGTCCATTTTTAATTCTCATCTCTTTCTTTCACTCTTTTTATTTCGCTTCACTGAAATCCATCGAAGGAAAAAATATATTTAATGTCTCAAAAAAAACCAACAAAAAGTTAGAAGACTTTCAGTCGGACGCTGAAGAACAGCTTCAGTTCATTTTTCAGTCATTTAAGTTTGTCGCTCCGTCTCCTTTCAGGGGTGAAACATGGCGGGGGAGGGGTCAGAGGTCACTGCTGTTTGGTTTTGTAGAAGCTTAAAGAGTTATTAAATGTTTTGGTAACACTTGAAATTGAAGCGCAGAAGAAACAAATGAATGTTTTTGATGTTTGTGTGATGAAGACGATACCAAAGCTTTTAGTTTGTGTGACTTTAACGGATATAAAGAATGAAGGTTTCTCTCAGAGTGATGTAATGATGGATTTATTCTAATGAATCTCTGACATTAAACGATGGAAATGAAAACTCTTTTTGTCTTTCTATTGTTTTTATACAAATATATAATATCAGTTAAGCACTAGAAGGTTTGTTCTGTTTATAACAACGTTACTTAAGAGATGTAATCTAATGTTGCTCTCTTAATCACGTGATCGTCAGACATCACATGACTCACGGCAGCAAAAAACAACACAAGTAAACAGCCGGTCTGACTCCTTCAGAATAAGAGTAATCTCTACAAATATGAACTCGCACCAAACTAATTTGGTAAACAACGTGAAAATAATAGCAGTTATATATATCTATATATTCTGTCTGTATATATACTATTTTAGTTGTGGATTTCTTATATTCTTTACCGTTTTATTACTTATTTATTTTATTTTATCTATTCCCCGCTTTTATTCTGAAGACCCAAACCGGAAGGCGGAAGAGTAATGGCCGCCCATTGACGTGAAGCGTCTTTCCTCTGCAGTTGTAGTCTCTCAGGACTCTGAACAACAGCACTAAGTATAATAAATATAACATTAAGCCGTTATCATGAGCGAGGATCACTTCTACCTGGAGCTCTGTGAGAACCCGGTCCAGTTTGAACACGCCTCGAGCGTCAACAACGTCTTCTTCGACGAGGCTAACAAGCAGGTGAGCTAAGCTAAGCTAGCTGTTATCTGTCTTTATATATGTTTATATACTGTGTATGTATATATATATATATATATATATATATAAACAGACAAGAACTTTAACTCATTATAGTGGTGGAGGAAGTATTCAAGTCGTTTACTAAAGTAAAAGTACTAATACCACACTGTATATACGCTCTGTACAGTAAAAATACTAATCCTAAAGTACTTTATTACAGTAAAACTACTAATACCAAACTTTGAAAATACTCTGTTACAGTAAAAGTACTAATACCACACAGTACAAATACTCTGTTACAGTAAAAAATACTAATGCCACGAGTACTTTACTACAGTAAAAGTACTAATGCCCTCTTTAAAAATACTCTGTCACAGTAAGATGTTCCTTCAGTAGAAGTATGTCGGTATAATCAGCAAAATGTAGTAAAAGTATTCAAAATGTGACTGTTGTACTATCATATATGTTAGGTTGTATTATTAATACTTATTAATGTAAAAGCAGGATTTTATTGTTGTAGTTTGTTGAGCTGGAGCTCATTTTTAACTTTTAACTTTTTATTTATTAGACTTAATAATCCTTCTAAAAAGCTAAATATGTCCTTTATACGTAGTTATAATATTTACTGACATTAATGTATATATTAGTTTGACTTTGTGTTCAGAGTTATATTATTATACATCATATTATTGGATAATATAAAGTCATATAAAATATTTTATTAGTGCTTCAAATTCAAAACAAACAAGTTTTAGTGTTAGATAAATCATGTTTTTGTTTTACTCCCTGTTTTTTTGTCTGCAGGTGTTCAGTTGTTTTTTTACTCCCTGTTTTTTGTCTGCAGGTGTTTGCGGTGCGTTCAGGTGGAGCCACAGGTGTGGTGGTCAAAGGGCCGGACGACAAGAGCAGCGTTGCCTTCAGGTACACCCGCCTGTGCAGGAAAAATCTGAAGTGATTTAGAGATGACACGAATATTAATATTAATACATCTGTGATGCATTTAGGGACGTTTAACTCGTTTTATTCACACTTCATTGTTTTGCCTTTTCATCACAGACACAACACATAGATAGGAAAAGATGAAAACTAAATCATAGAATACAAAATAATAATAATAATTTAATTAAATAACAATAAATAAATAATAGAAATAATAAATAAAGGATCTGGAGTGCTTTGTCCCCTCAAAAGCACTTTAACTTTTTATGGCCAATGTGCTGACACTAATCATAGATAATATTAATATACAACAATAATCATTAATATTGATCACTGCATGATTGCATTGTGTATATTTGTGGTGTGTTTCTCCACAGAATGGACGATAAAGGAGAAGTGAAGTGCATCAAGTTCTCAATTGGAAATAAGATCTTAGCGGTTCAGAGGACGTTAAAGTCTGTGGTGAGTTAGAACAGAACGAGACGCTTCTTATAATAATAATAATAATGATCATAACCGTGTGACGTAATGTAACTTATTTTAAAGAAACGAGCACTTTCATGCACCTGATGGAGGTTTTTCTCTGTGTGTGTGTGTGTGTGTGTGTGTGTGTGTGTGTGTGTGTGTGTGT